CTCTTTATTTCAATGTCTTTGGTTATATTTCTCTTGCTTGTTTGTTTTGTTGATTAGGTTCAACTTATAGAAGAGATCATACGGTACTTGTCTTTCACTGCCTGGCTTATTTCTTTTAGCATAATGCTCCCCAGTTCCATCCATGCTGTTGTGAAGCATAGGAGCTCCTTCTTTCTTTCTGCTGCGTAGTATTCCATTGTGTAAATATACCACAGTTTTTTGATCCACTCATTTACTGATGGGCACTTAGGTTCCTTCCAGCACTTGTTAAATTGTGCTTCTTTTGGGGTGCATAGGTTCTTTTGAATTGATATTTCAGGATTCTTAGGGTATAATCCCAGCAGTGGAATTGCTAGATCAAAAGGCAGTTCCATTTTTAATTTTTTGAGGAAATTCCATACTGTTTTCCACAATGGCTGCACCAGCCTGCATTCCCACCAACAGTGTACTGGAGTTCCCTTTTCTCTACAACCTCGCCAACACTTACTGTTTTTTGATTTGTTTATTATGGCCATTCTGACCAGTGTGAAGTAGAATCTCATTGTGGTCTTAATTGGCATCTCTCTGATGGCTAGTGATGCTGTGTATCCTTTCATAGGTCTCTGAGCCCTCTGTAAATGTCTGTTCAGGTCCTTTGCCCGTTTTTCAATTGGATCGTTTGTCTTCCTGGAGTGGGGTCATGTGAGTTCTTTATATATTTTGGAGACCAAACCCTTGTCCAAGGTATCATTGGCAAATATATTTTCCCATATGGTTGGTTCCCTTTTCATTTTGCTGATGTTTTCTTAAGCCATACAGTAGCTTATTATTTTGATGAAGTCCCCTTTGTTTATTCTTTCCTTTATGTTCCCTAGAGAAGAAGTATTGCTTCCGATGAAAATATTGCTGCTGGGATATCTGAGATTTTCCTGCCTATATTCTCCTCTAGGACTTTTATGGCATCATGACTTATATTTAAGTCTTTTATCCATCTTGAGTTTATTTTTGTGTATGGTGTAAGTTGGTGGTCAAGTTTCTTTTTTCTTTTTTTTGTTTTTGCTTGTAGCTGTCCAGATCTCCCAACACCATTTGCTGAAGAGGCTATTTTTACTCCATTTTATTCTTCTGCCCCCTTTGTTGAATATTAATTGACCATAGAGACATGGGTTTATTTCTAGGCTCTCTATCCTGTTTCATTGATCTATTTGTCTGTTCTTATGCCAGTACCAGAGACAGGCCATTAATTTTTAAATAGAAAAAGCAAACTTATTTCAATAGATGCTTTTTAAGATGCTGTTTATTCAAGGGAAATCAATTTATAATGCCATAACATTTACGTGATGCGGAGAATTTTGCCTGTGTGTGATGCTGCATAAATTTTTCTGAAGAGGCCATAGTTTATATCAGCTCCCTAAAATGAGCAACAACAGTGCTGAGGTTGCTTTGCTGACGGCTTGACAAGCTTTATGATTATCTCTGCAGTTGGATGACAGCAAAACTCAAAATTAGAACAATAGTTCTATTTGTGTTCTAACAATCTAATTTCTGAGGGTACTCCTTTTAGAATCGTTCACAATAAACTACCAAATAACTCAAGTAAATATATAAAAACCACGGGAAAATACCTTATATTTTCTAAAGTTTTAATTACATTTCTCTAATTTTTTGGAAGAAGTATTTAGGTTTATTTTACTTTAAATTGAATAACTGATAACTAATGTGTGAAATGTTTATTTGTTGTTATAAAAACATAACATTTAAGAAGTCACATTAATTACAGAACCCATCTTCATGAAAAATACCCCAGTGCCTTTGTTTTTCTCTCTTTTTTTGATTTAATCTTTATTGTATTTTTTCGATTACCATTTAGTCCCCTATACTCCCTTTTCCCCATCAATCACCGCACTGTTATCCATGTCCATGAGTCCTTTTTCATCTTTGCTCAATCCCTCCTTTGAAAGCAGTATACTTAAAGGTTAAGGGCATAGAATCAAGAGCTAGACCTTCAGGGTTGCAAATTCAGCTCTACCAACTTCTGCTTTGGAATGTCAGATGAGTTAACCTCTCAGTTTCCTCATCTCTAAAATAGGGATAATATAGTTTACCCATATTATACATATTTTTTAAAGATTTTATTTATTTTTCGACAGAGGGGAAGGGAGGGAGAAAGAGAGAGAGAGAGAAACGTCAGTGTGTGGTTGCCTCTTACATGCCCCCTACTGGGGACCTGGTCTGTAACCCGGCATGTGCCCTGACTGGGAATCAAACCAGCAACCCTTTGGTTCTCAGGCCAATGCTCAATCCACTGAGCCATACCAGCCAGGGACCATATTATAAACATGTAGTGGGAAATAAATATATAAACACATGCAGTATTTAAAATTGTGCCTGCTACATAGTAAGCACAATAGATGTATTAGCTGCTATGATATTATAGATAATAGTTCAAAGATAAAAATTCATGAGGAAGCACTTGTCCTTATAACACTAAATTTAGAAATATTAGGAGCTAATTAAAATACTTATTTTCACAAAGAGCATAAAATGGAGCAAGAAAACTTTCTTTATTAATTCAATTAATGTTTGAGACAGACACCATACTCTAGGCAATGCTTGCTCAAAAACTAGTAATACCTCAATTTTCATGAGGTCAATCATCAAAGATTGTAGTAATCTTTTTTAAGATTACTACTTCACTAAGCCAAGCCTTCTTATGACAAAATAAAAAAATGCCATATCCTGTTTATGTGTCTTGTCTCAGAAAGAGAACTTAGTGTCCTTTCTTAACAGAAGACGATTCATTTCCAAAACAGTAGAATGTGATTAATTGCCTTTTGATTTTGTTTTCTTTTGATGTGGTTAGGACAAATTACAATTTATATGTAATGTTTTGATGGAGAAATTCAATATCACACCCACCAAATTGACACTTATTTTTCATTCATATGCTGTTAAAGAAACAATTGTGTCCCGCCTTAAACAAAAAAAGTGTCAATAAATAAATGGTTTTCAGGATATGATTTATGATGAGTTCTACAGTGTTTTTCTTTCCCAAATAATTCCTTTCAAGCACCTTTTTTTTTTTAAGAATTATGTAATGTCTCTCATTTTATGCCAGAAAAATAGCCAGGATATGAATTTGACATCGCATGCATGGTGAGAGCCTGGAAAAGATTCTAAGAATGCAATTTACTTCTATACAAAAGGTCAGAGAATTAATTCTCCAAGCCAACATTTGGAACTGGCTGGCGAGAGGGCCTTGGATGTCCGGACAATTAATGTGCGTACATTCAAAATGTACTTGTGCTCACACCTCTAATAAACCCTTTCATAAGAGAGAACACCATGTCCCACTGATTTTACAATTGCCTTTTTAGAAAGAACTTTGCAAATCTACAAGATCATACTTACAGGCTTACTTAACCTAGCTGAGCCAGGAGAAAATTACTTCTGAAGCCTGAACTCTATGAATTATTTTAGCATGCTATGGACTCTGACTTGAGTGAATTGTTAAATGATCCTCCTGGGTCTCTTAAACATCAGCAACTTCACATGTCTGTCCATCTACGTCTCTCAGACTAGGTTAATTGGATCTTATTGTAGAACATACACCATTATAACTTTAAGTACATAGTCTGTATAAAAAGGCCATTTTGGAGAAAGTGGTTACATTTACTAGAGCTGATGATTATTTTTTTGTTAAAGCTTCAATTGTTTTTGTATGTGATTTAATTGTCATCTGTGCCCCTCCTATATAATTTTGGGCAAGGAAAGATGGGAAAGGCTGAGAGTGGTAGAATGTACTGGTAATCCTTAATAACTAATACTTATTGAGTGTTTACTGTGTGTCAAGCACTAATGTAAGCACTAGACATGTATTAACTAACACATTGCTCACAACATCTCTCCAGAACAGATACTGATATTTCTTCACTTCAGAGATGTGAAAACTGAAACATAGTGAGGTGAAGTAATCTACCAACGGTCACAAAGTTTAAGTAAACAAAGCTGCCTAGGGTGCTCATGAATATACTGAATTTCACTGGGAGTACTTTCAATAAAAGGAGCTGGCTAGAGAGTTCTCAGGAAAGAACTTGGTTTGAATAAACTTGGGTTTGTTTGGATCTGGGCCTCTTTTTCTCAGGTCCAAAACTACAAGTTCTTGGTTATCCCTAAAGATATCTCGTTAATAAACTTTCCCAATTAAAAAACAAACAAACATTCAAGAATGATGAGTGATGCGGAATGCCAGCATACAAATACTTCCTGGGAGGGGGGGAAGTGTTGGTGTACACCATCCAAGTCACTTTGTGTGAAGCCAAATCAGAAGTTTGTTTGGTAAGCATGGAACAATGTCACACATGTTACAGAGGGTTATTACATGAGCCTGATAAAACCTGGTGATGCCCCCCAATCCCAGAGCCAGAAACCCGTCTCTAAGACCTAGACTTTTCAAGTTCTCCAGATTCAGCCTTTATTCCTCGGCTGTGCACTGCTGGATGCGCACTGACAACTTCTTTAATGCAGTTACAGAGGTGGCCGAGAGTCGTCACACAGGATTGTTCCTCCGCACCCCACTTTTCCACGTTCAGAACTGCAGTCCCTGGGATACACTTGCCTCCTGAAATATGCTGTCCATGTGATTTGGGGCAAGTGTGTCTTTTGGCTTTGGTATTAATTTTTTAGAACTTGCTCTCAAATTTCTTTTTTGAGGGTCTCTTCTAAAAATACAGACATCTTCTTTTAGACATCTACAGTTCACTCTAAAGGATAGGTAAACAAACAAATAAATGTGGTGAGAATTTTAAATATGTACAGTTTTTCCTTTCCTTCTCAAAACAGTTTAATGTATAAAGGTACACTTATTTCAGAGTAAATAACATACCTAAGTTGGAGCGAATTTTATTTGAATAGATGTCAGTCACTACCAATAGCAACATTGCTAATTGTACCTTGAATAATATAGCATTAATATGATATTGTAAGTTTCTTTTAATAATAATTACTTCGAATTCCTTCAGATTGACATTAACACTTTCCTGTCCAATGGATCTCAAGAATTTTCCGATGGATGTGCAAACATGCATCATGCAACTGGAGAGTTGTAAGTATGAACAACTTACTTTATCTAAATAGTTTTTAAAATATAGTAGATATAAGTGGTTTTTAGTGTATATTATAAATGAATTATTTTGTAATTATTTTTGTTGGATATTTACTAAATAAGCATGATATCTTTTACTAGGTATTGAAAGTCATGATGTCTATCAGAACATGCACTCTATACTATGATAAAGAAATTGAGGACCTAGAAATAATAGTTTTTAAGCCAGAAAAGCAGCTTTATGTCTTTATACAAATTATCAAAGGGAAAAAATGTAATAATCAGTAAAATCAAACTATCACTTTTTACTGAGTGCCTGCTATAGACCAAATATTTTGCATACATTATATTTCATACAATGAAGATATTGTTATCGCCATGTTTCCAGATGTGAAATGGTCCTTCTGAGAATTGAGTATTGTGCTCCTGTCCATGAAGTCTGCCATAGCATACTAGCTGGCTCAAAAGCCTATGCTTTCTCTGAACCATTATGCCTCTCCTCAGCTAATATTTATTCAGAGTATACTCTGCTGGGTATGTTATATATGTTATCTTAGGAAAAAAGAAATTTCTCATGCTTTTCCACAGATTTACCCAAGCTTAAGTTTCTCCTTTCAAAGTGGATCCAAACGCATCACTGATTAATGTCAACACATAAAATCTTCAGGTCCTTTTCTTTCTCTGAACTTAGCTACATAATCAACCCTAAATTAATTATTTTGCATGTTTAATGCAATGAAAAAGTATTATTAAATACTTTTTATAGTATGTTATATCTGGAAAAAAATTTGTTTTGATACATTCCTTGCGGAAAATTTGTAGATGGATCTTCAGGCTTGCAGGCCTGAGGCAAGGTTTGTAGTGTGGTGGAGCTGTCACTAGGTGGCGTGCCTACTTCATGGGGGATTGCGCCCATCTCTGTTGGTTTCTCTTCAAGAAAGAAAGTGGAAGTATCTGCCTGTTAATAATGCTTATCTTCTTAAATTTAAATACATTACTTTTATAAGTAATTTTTAAATATTAAGCATACCCATGGATAAAGCACTACATTAAATGAAAGGAAAATAAAATATCTAGTTTTAGTTAGGGGAGCTATTTAGCAATAAACAGGGAAGGACAACAAAAGAATCCCAGCAATGTAGATTTTTTTATCCATATTATGAAGACATTTTGAAGGCATGCTGATTCTGTATCTTGGAAGAATATTGAGAAAAAGATCATACACAAAATAGTTCAAGGCAAACTGGTGCCCTATTACTAAACCAGGGATGCTGGATGTTACCCAATAGGCAGTGAGGAATGATTCAAGATTTAGGAGCAAGATCATGATTTAGTTAATATTACTCTCTGAAGATTATTCAGCCAAATTAACCAACGTTATTTGGGAAGGTTTCATAAGGCAGATCCATTTTTAATTTTTTGAGTAAACTCCATACTGCTTTCCACAGTGGCTGCCCCAGTCTGTAATCCCACCAACAGTGCACAAGTGTACCTTTTCCTCCACATCCTTGTCAACACTTGTTCGTTGATTTACTGATGATGGTCATTCTGAAGGTGTGAGTTCATATTTCATTGTGGTTTTAATTTGCATTTCTCTGTTGATTAAAGTGATGTTGAGTAGCAATTCCATTTCTGGTACATATCCAAAGAAACCCAAAACACTAATTTGAAAGAGGGTGTGCACTCCTATGTTCATTGCAACATTATTTACAATAGGCAGGATACAGAAGCAACCCAAGTGTCCATCGATAGACAAGTGTATAAAAAGGTGGTGAGATATATATGTGGAATACTACTCAGCCATAAAAAAGAATGAAAATCTGGAGGAATCAAGATGGCAGAGGAGTGACTGGAATTCACACTGACCTCCTCCCAGGACCAATCTGGAATTACAATTAAACTATGGAGAAATCACCTGGAACAAACAACTGAATGATAGCAAGAGAGGAGCTTTATAACCTCAGACCAGACAGAAGAATCAGCTTTAGCACAATCCAACTGGTAAGAAGTGCGGTAGAGACTCAAGAAGGCAGGTGGGGCGCCCACGGGTGGCCGCACCAGAAGGATATTGAAATGGCCAGTTGGATCCTCCTGAGAAGAGTGGGGTCTAAACCATAAGTGAGGATCTCCAGCCTATAACACCAGAGCCCAAAAAGAATACATATAACAGCTGGCTGCAAAAAGCAGCAGGGTTGCTCTCTGCCAGAGAAAGGCAGCTGGAGATGCAAAGAGCCATTTAAAAAGACAACGCATAAATTTTTATTTGCAGCCACTTGCCCTGGGCTTCAGCAAGGGCAGGGACAGAGTGGGCTGGAGACCCTGAGGAGAGACTGGGGAAGGAGGCTTTGGGGAGAGAACTGAGAGAGTAGCCAGTGGGATCTTGGTGCTGACTCATTCCCCATCCGGCAGCAGCCATCTTGCTCAGGCAGACCACTCCCCTGAGTGGTAACAAAGTGAGAGGACACAATAGCCCCACCCCGAGGAGGGACTCGGCCCTGCTGAGTACAGAGTGGCAGACATAGACTGTAGATCCCTAGCTAAAGGGGGCACAGAGTGATCTAGAGACTATTGAGGAGAAATTGGAGATGAAGGCCTTGGGGAGAACAGAGAGAGTAGCTGGCGGAATCCTGGTGCTGACTCCTCCCCGATATGGCAGTGGCCATCTGGCTCAGGCAGACCATGACCCTGAATGGCAGCAGCATGAGAGGACCCAATAACCCCGCCCCCAGGAGGGACGCTGCCCCACCCTGTGGTGTCTCTAAGCTGGCTTGTTGAATGCAGAATGACCAGGCTAACAACTGTAGGAGACAACCACAGGCAGTAGATTCCTGGAAATCCCAAACAGACTGCCTAAGGTCAGACAGGGTCAACATCTGACATCATCAGAGGCAGACCCAGAGAGAATAAACAGTGGTCTCCTACCATAGAAGTTCACACTACAAAGTGAGGAAATTGAGACAGATCAATTTAAGAAGCAGAAGCAAAAAAGAAGGGTCTCACAAATAATGGGAAAACAAAGAAACATCCCCCAGTTGAAGGGAAAGCAAGAATCTCCAGAAAGAGAAATAAATGAAATAGAGGCAAGTCAACTCCCAGATATTGAGTTCCAAACAACATTTCTAAGGAACCTCAATGAGCTCAGTGAGCTCAGAGAGAATTACAAAAAAACTCTAGGGAAACTATGAGGAACTTACTGCAAACTATATGCAGCATGAAAAAGGGCATAGAAACTATCAATAAGAGGCAAGATGAAATAAAGAATACAGTTTCTGAATTGAAGGACACAGTAGAAGGAATCAAAAGCAGGCTTGATGAAGCAGAGGATGGAATCAGTGAGCTGGAGGATAAGGTAGAAAACAGCTCCCAGAAAGAGCAAGAAAATGAAAAAAGACTCAAAAAGAATGAAGAGGCATTTAGGGACATGCAGGACAACCTGAAACGTAATAACATTTGTATAATAGGGATACCAGAAGGAGGAGAAGAGGAGCAAGAGAACCTGTTTGAAAAAGTAATGATGGAAAACTTCCCTAATTTGAGGAGAGAAAAAGTCACACAAGTCCAGGAAACACAGAGGGTCCCATTCAAGAGGAACACAATGAGGTAGACTCCAAGACACATCATAATTAAAATGGCAAATATCAAAGACAAACAGAGAATCCTAAAGGAAGCAAGGGAGAAAGAGGTACTAATAGATAAGGGCTAGCAGCTGACTTCTCAACAGAAACACTACAAGCAAGAAGAGAATGGCAAGAAATACTCCAAATCATGAAAAACAGAGGCCTGCAACCAAGACTGCTCTACCCAGCAAAGCTCTCAATTAAAATGGAAGGCAAAATAAGGAGTTTCCCAAAAAGGAGTTACCCCAGACAAAAGGAGGTAAAATAATACACCTCCACCAAACCAGCACTGCAAAATAGGCTAAAGGGACTGCTTTAAGAAGATGAAGAAAAAAAAAATCTATGAATACCCAGTTCCTTTCACAGTCATCAATACTTGATATTACCAATATTTTTAATACTTAACCTGATTGTGACAATGATGTGTTATTTTAATTGTTACTTTATTATTGGTTGAAACTAAACCTGTTTTTGTACATTTCTTGCCTATTTCTATTATTTTTTAAAAAGCTTTAAAAGACTTTTTGGTATTCTTTATCCATTTTTTTGATTAAATGTTTGTAGAATTTTTTCCCTAAAAAAACCCCTAAAAAGCACTATTAACCCTTTTTTAGATGCTTTGCAAATACTTTCCTATTCTATTACTTGTCCTTTAACTTTTTAATACATATATTTCTATGTAGTCTTAAATGTTTAATATGGTCATATTGTCAATATCTTACTTTATAGCTTCTGAGTTTGAATATGTTACTTCAGGGTAAGAAAAACATTATTTTGAATTTTCTCCAAAAACTCCTTAGATTTCCATATTGATTTTTAACTCACCTGAATATTTTTTGTACAATGTGTGAAATAAGGCTCTGTATTTGTTTTATTTCAAGTAATAGTGGTCCATGCACCTTATTTGTTGAATAAACCTTATTTTCCCCCATTGATTTGAAATATCAATCTAATCATATATTACATTGTTAAGCAGATGTATACATTTGTTTCTAGAATGCTCATTATATTTCATTTATCTACTTGATTATTTCTGTGCTGGCGTCATGTTGTTTTAATTGTTGAGACTTTATAATGGATTTAATTTTTTTAATATTTTATAATGGATCTTGACATTTAAAAAATTAAATAAAATCAGTCTGCATTAAAAAAGAAGAAAGAACGAAAGAAAGAACTCCAACCTTTTGTGACAACGTGGATGGAACTGGAGAATATTATGCTGAGTGAAATAAGCCAGTCGGTGAAAGACTAATACCATATGATCTCACCTATAAGTGGAATCTATTCAACAAAATAAACTAATGAACAAAATAAACCACAGGCAAGGAAACATGGAGCAGACCGAAGGTGACCAGAGGGGATGGGGAAGGAGGACAATGGTGG